ATAAAAATATGAAATAGGATATTATGGCTAAAAAAAATAAAAATATACACCTCCTCATTATGTGCCAAATGATTGGAAACTCTATTATTGGATCTTGGTCGCTTTGCACTTAATTAATTACGCTGTTAACATTTATCGTGATTCGTGATTTTGGTTGATTTTTATTTATTTAATTTTCAGTTAAAATTTATTTTAATTAATTTTATCTTATATAATTTTGATTTAACAAAATTACATTGAGAATGAAAATTTAGAAAAAAAAATCAAAACACGGCGAAACGGAAAAAAAAATTCCCACGGGAAAAATCCCGCAAGAAAGCTGGTTGCCCGCAGGATGTGCACACAGCGCGCACTTCCTGTCCGTGCACATGGTGCGAGATCAAGACCTGCGCGCGTGTCCTATCGCGAGCAAGCGGGCCGACCACGCATCACCTCGTGCATGGCCAGGTGCTGCACACTGTGCACGAGCCATCCGCATAGTAGGCATAGTAGGCCTATGCAGGCGGTGCCCAGTGCGCCAAGGCTCTGCTCGTGCGGCAAGAGACCTGTGCGCTTGCAGCAAGCCACCCGAAACACTGCCATTTTGGGCAGTGCATCGCCACTGCCTTGCGTAGCGCGTCGCCGCTACGAATAGAGGAGGCCCTTCTCCCTCATTTTTTTTGTCGAACATCTTTTTCTCATCTCTCTTCACCGAATTTTGCCACTTAGCGCGAATCCAATAGTACCAAAATTCTATAAATTGCGCCCCCTTCCCTTCCTCTTCACACTTCCATTCTACAAAGGTTTAGAGAGAGAGAGAGAAAGATAATAGTCTAGTGAGAGAAGAAGAGAAAGAAAGGAGAACAGTGAGGGAGAAAACATCAAGGCATGGAAAGACGTAAAAGAACCGCTCCTAGTGGATGATGGTGTGCCCTCTGACGAGAATGGTATCGCACTATCTGTAGGGGTCACTCGTGACTAAGTAATGTCGTGACTATAGATATCCGGACGCATACAAACCTGTGCACACATAAGACTCCCTATAGCTGAAGCATAAGAAATCTTTTGCATCTCTATAGTCTCTAGGTCATTATTGAGGTATTGACTTAGAGTAAACTTGTCTCTTTTAGACACAGAGGAGTCACCTAGTTTACAATCCTATATGTAAAACCTTTTAAGAACCTTTTTGATATAACTCTTTTGTGATAATTTAAGAATACCCTGAGAGCGATCCTGGTATATCTAGATCCCTAATACAAAAGAGACATCCCCAGGATCTTTCATCTCAAATTTCTTTGTCAAAAATCTTTTGATTTCGTACAATAATCTTATATCACTACTAGCAAGCAGTATGTCATCGACATATAAAACCAGAAAAATATACTTACTCCTACTAAACTTGTAGTATACACAATCTTTCACTAAATTCATCTCAAAACCAAATGAGATGACGACTTGATAAAATTTGTGATATCCTTGACGGGAAGCCTGCTTAAGTCTATAGATGAATTTTTTTAGTTCGCAAACTATTTGTTGTGCATCTCTAGATACAAAGTTTTCTGGTTGCACCATATCCTTAAGTATTCCGTTTCGCCTTTCAACGACACCATTCATGCTAGGAGAACTTGACATGGTGTACTGAGGAATGATACCGTATTCCTTTAGGATTCGAACAAATGGCCCTAGACACTGTTCACCTGATCCAGTAGATATACCATAGTATTCACCACCACGGTCAGATCTAGCAGCCTTAGTCTTTTTGTTGAGTTCGTTCTCAACTTCTATTTTAAAACTCTTGAACACATCCAAGGACTAGGACTTTTCATGAATTAAATATAGGTAGCCATATGTGAAATAATCATCTATGAACGTTATGAAATATTATTGACCATTATAAGAAGCTGTAGGGAACGGTCCACAAATATTTGTATAAATGAGTTGTAATATATTCATAGCCCTGTTAGCACATAATCTCTTAATGTTTGTCTGTTTCTCCTTGATACTATGGACACATCTGTCAAAATCTGTAAAATCAAGGGGATCTAGAATTTCATATGACACAAGTCTCTTAATTCTCATTTGAA